AATTAAAGGTGTATTTTCTCCGTGTGAAGAAGATATTAATTATTTTGTAATCGACACACAAGATGTCTCTGAGTTCATGGTGGATTTCAAGCTTTCAAATAGAAACTTTCTCGACTGAAAATAAAGTAAGTCGCGGAAGCTAAATTTAGAAAAATCAGTTTTTCATTTAATAACCAGTATGTTCAGTCTACAAGTTGTACAATAAAATAATTTGTCTCGTTATTAAAATATCGAGCGATGAAAACGATGCTCACATTTCTTCGCTTAAAGCACGCGTTTTTTAGTAAGAGATGAAATAACTAACAATAAAGAGATACTTAGCTCTCAAGTTCACGTCACTGCTCTGTGCATCAGCCGGATATCTTTTTTCAAATGTTCGTGGGTTAATTTTGTATGACTAATGCATCAGAATGTCGAAACAGGCCACTGTAGATATAGAAACATCCACGATGAAAGTAGATAGGCAAATTTTTATGTATTTTAAAATTCTTGTGAACATAGTTGAAGGAATGGAATCTAAATCGAAATGTATAAATTCTCCATTAATTTAATTATAATACTCTGCTTCAGATACTTTATATATTTCTATACATTATACATACATTCTATGCATTTTTGTGCCTTAAAATTTTTCACAAATAGCATTCCTGCATTCCTTTAATCGAAAATTGAATGGCAATCTTTGTTACATGTTGAAGCCTGGAATGCATTTACAATGAAATTAGTACAATGAGTAAGACACATGAAAGATATTAGTCGAAAGATAATGAAACAAAGAGAATCATATACGTACATTTATTAACAAAACCAGAAATTTATTTTAAATACAATTTGTACAATAGCAGTGAATGCGACTACAATGAATATCACAGTATTTCTCAGGTAGACATCTCTAGATGTCAGTCAGTAGCTTGAAATTATTAACCAACTAAATATTACGCTCTATACCACGTAATTGAGTAGTGAGTAAATGACAAGTATTCATTATCAGTTATAATGAGTCCCTGTTCGAACTGGCGTATAGCTCGTATCAATTAAACATATGTTTCATAAGCAAAACATAGATGAAGTCCGTGCCATACTAATAGAAATCGAACAGCCATGATCCAAAATGTTAGCTTGCTACATCTAACAGGATATGACTATGTACAGTGATCTGTAGATTACGAATTCTTACGCAAATTATTTACATTACAGAGTAGTTACTTCTGAGTAGTTTTGAGAAAAAGTATCGTCAAAAGAGTAGAACACAATTTTTGGAAATATATTTAAACATATATATAACACAGAACCAAACGTTATTATATAAAAACCAAGGGAATCAAATTTTATTGAAAACATACCTTGGATATTTTTATGTTCCAGAATTTTAATAACATTGATTTTAATATTTATACGTTTTACATATATATATTTTTTTTAAGTTTTCGCATATGTATCTCGTGGAATTTTATAACTTAAAATATTCTGTACATAAAAATCCGTAGTCTAACGATCTATCATTGCGATACTTTAAACGAAGTATCATATCGAAATAAATCAGTCCCTTTCGATAGACAAAAATATTGAGTAGAATTTTAAACTATACTTACGACACTGCCGATAAACCATAACACAGGTCAACGTAAATAGTTCTTACTTTAATATTACGTATGTATATTGCAACGTATCGAATTGACATTTAATTTAATTATTTAAATAATTAACACAAACTTACCATGACAGGGATACAAACTTCTACAAATCAATCATTTATCGAATAAAAATAGAGAAATTAATGAATCCCGTTAATCTGAAATAATGATTAGCAATATAATCAACCGATATCACAATTATTACCATCTTATGAGAATTAATTAACGTAAATCTAAATAAATTCGCACAAGTATGAAAAATGAACCGGCACGTCGTTCTGGAGATTTTTTTTTTTTTTTTAAGAAACATCGAATATTTTGCGTTCGAATGAAAAATAAGTTGTTGAAATACTAGATGATCATAAATCGTAACGACGTGCTTTAAATCGTACGTGAAATATATATACATTGTTCTCTTACTCGCAAAATTAAGGATAATGGTACGTCGATCTTCGATGAGTCTCACGTTAACAAACTAATTACACAATATTTCGATGACTGTCGGTGCTTGATTTCTCGAGATTTTATGATCTCATTCGTCACCAGTTTCCGTCAGTTTGTCCAGGCAATCGTACGACTTTGATTGAATGATGTATCTGCAATGTAAATAATTTTTTTTGTTCAGTATCATACCTATTGGAATACTTTCGTGAGCCACTGTATGTTATAAAAAAAAATTCCAAGCAGCAAACGTTTGTCATAAGCAAGAAGCAGCAGGAAGCAGATAACCAAATTAAAGAGCAAGCAAAGCACCAGAACTAACCCAGTGTTATAGATCACACCCAAAACTCTCTCTATCGTTTGTAAGCCGACCGTTTGTGCGTAGGGTCTCTGCGACCCACGTAGAGGACCATCTTCCCAGCCTTCGCCATCTTGAACGTTTGCAACGCTTTCGCGTGCGTCAGTCCGTCCATCGATATTCCATTGATCGCCAAAATCTCGTCACCAACTTTCAAAGTTCCCTCTTCGGCCGCCTGGCCGCCGGCCATGATGTCCTTCACGAAAATGCCCATGGATCCTTTGCTACTATCCGACCCGCCGACTATCGAAAATCCCAATTTCTTCGGCGCGCCCTTCTCCAACGTGATGGTCAACAGATCCATCGACAAACTGGTCGTTCTCCGCGAACAAGAAATCGGATTGACAGCTCGCTTCCGCACCACGTGGAACTTTCTCATACCAGTTATCTTCTGACTAGGTTCCCTCTTCAAAGTGGCCGCACTCTCGATCTCCATCCGCTCCATAGAACTCGCCGACAAGTTCTTACCATCTTTCATCAACGCGCCGACTACTTCGCACTGAGCGAAGGTTCTCTCTTGCGTTGCAGCGTCCACAGAACGAGGGACTTCCGTGGCTTTCTCCTGTTTCAACGTCCACACCTCGGAGTCGCTTCGAGTGCGGATCAAAATGTCGCCCCACGTGTCCCCCAGCTCTTCACCGAAGGTGAACGTCGGTTGTCTGGCAATCTGCAGTTCCACGGTACCAGAACACGTCCTCAACGCGTTTCTGGCCTCGATGATCGACATACCGCGCAGTCTGCGCCCGCAAACGCGAACGATCTCGTCACCGATCCGAAACTGCTTCGACTTGGCCGCCTCTCCGTTCGCGTCCATCTTCGAGATCACGTAGAAAGGTCTGACAGCCTCTTTCCTTTCCACGGAAATGCCAAGATTCCCAGGTCTCTCCACGAACAGTTTCATCGTCTTCAACTCTCGGCGGACCAAGGTTTTCGCCGGTGTGGGAGGAACCGGTGGCGGGTGATCGACTTTCACCGGTTGCTCGGATTTCTTTAATTTGTTTCTTGCATTCACTACGTCTGGATCCTCCGACTCCATGGTCGACCGCGATCTCTTCGGACTGTAGTACTGCAGAGGGCTGGTAACGAGGTTCCCGTGGATCTTCGCTGCTGGAGGGCTGTCTTTGCACGGGGACGCGGCATTTTCTAACAAACTCAACATACCAGGATCGCTGTGCTTTCGAGGTTTCAACGTGTCCTGCGCTTTGTTCTCCTTTTGTAGATTGTGTAGCTTCACGGCCTGCGACAGTGGCACAGTTTGATCTAATCTCGATCTGAACGATTTCTTCTGTGGTATTCTCGAGAGTCGGCTCTTTCCAATAATGGGGCACGTTCTTTTATCGTCCTCTATGGTTTTGGACACCGAAGATACTGAAGATCCTCTCGGCAATTCGTCGTCATGTTGCTTCGATGTGCTTACAGTTGGTTTTGCTTGCTCGACGGTGCAATTCGTCTGATACTCGGCAAACCCAGCGAAAGTGTCTTCGTCGCAGCTGTCCGTGTCGTCGTCCGACGCCACCGCGGTTACGTCGGTCGTTACCGAATTGTTTATTACGACAGTGTCTTCGAGGCAAGGAGCAGCCGGCTCTTTCACTTGCGTTTCTGTTCCCGTTGCCACGTCCTGTTTTATCAGCGCCCTGTCGGCATTTATCGGTGGCAAAGATAGATCGATACCGTGGTAATCGTCCGACGTTATGGAGAATCTACGAGGTTTTAACATTGGCGGGACGGACTTTCCGCTGTCTGGGGAGTCGGCTCCAGCTCGCGTGCTGTCGGAATCGTAGCCACTTTCGTCGCATGCCAGTCGTAAATTGCTCATCAGGTCCTCTAAGCCAGTCGTTGGGCACGATCTTTGATTTTCGGTCCTGCAGAAATAAAAGAGAAACTATGAGTACAAGATATGTAAGATAGTAGGATAATGTGCCTAAATTTTATCTTCCATAAGATAAATCAACACCTATCCGAAATGAAATTAATTTTTTAATATTGAAAAATTTGCATTATTACTTTTAACGTTCAGTAACAAAAGCTGTATGATCGACGTTTTATAAAAATTCGTACATCATTTAATCCATTTTTGAATATTTATAGATTTACGAGACGAAAAGCTTTCGCCATTTACAAAATTATTTTATGTAAACAACTGAAATTTGTCTCAGTATCAGCCGTTTTCTTCGACGTAATAACAATAAAGGCGACAACAGTGCTTGCTCTTTGAAATTCATTAATATATAGTGCGACCACCGTTTTATAGTTGAAAAATGATTCTAAATTCTAAAGTGGTCCGTCTAAATTGATGCTGCAACGAGATGAGAATGAAGAGATACAACATGTTGTTCCAAGACTAGAACACTCGAGGACTTCTATTGTAATACACACTTCGTAATAAACGTTTCATCAACGTACTCGTATCCCCCGGCCTTACATCGACAATTCTAAATCGGCACACTACTCGAGGCCTCTCTGTTTCGTTACAGCATTCATTTGCACGTCATCGCGTTTCAAACGCTTGCAAAATCAAACTAACGAACGCGAATGAAATCGGAGAGAGGGCTCTCTCACCTGTCGCAATCACCGCCACTCGCACGAACGTTGAATAGATTCCTCTTAATATTGCTAAGCTGATTACTGATAAAGTCTCTGGTTTGCACGGACACGTTGCTCTTGCCCCTGTCTGTCGTTGCATCCTGACTCGTTCGTAGTTTCGGACTCGTGCTTCGCGTCACTTTGTTCAAAGTCTGCTTCGCGAGAGCTGTTCCCTCTTGAGTCTTAAGCAAGTCCTGGTTGGTCAAGATGTAATCTAAAACTCGCTGCTGCTCCTGGAGATCGTGGATGCTACGACTAAGCTGTTTCTTCTTCTCGCGAAGAAGAGTTCTACGATCGATTTGACTGTCGTCCAAGCTGCCGCCGAACGGTATGTTCTTTATGGCACCCTCGCTCAGAGCTTTCTCCATCGGATAATGACCGATACAGGTGACGTCCTCCTCTTGTATCGTCACGTTTCTAGCCGACGCGTCGCCGTTCAGAAAACTGCTACCTCGCTCGCTGCTTCTGAACAAATTCCGCAACGATTCCACCCTGGAAATTCTCTTTGGCCTTGGTAATTCGAGCGAGTCGTTGATAATACCCTGAAAACAATGATAGAAGGGAGATGTGAATAAATGTATTGCAGATGTAATTTATACTTAGGCTGAGCCTGATAACTGAATTTGACTGTAACTCTGTTTCTATCGAAAATAGAAAATAATCGTGCGTTTCACGAGAAGCTCTGTAAGGTGCAATTATTTTGTAAAATAGAACTCTAGAATTGATACCACTCTGTTAAAACTATTAGGGCACAATGTCAAGAAAATTAATATTTCTTGAGATACTTCAAATTTTATTCAAGATGTGGCATTTAAATGAAAATGTCGGAATATCTGCATTATTTTTGGTTGAAATATGTAAGTTGCAGCATTTCAAGAGATACATCTAACGATCTTTTGTCTCAGAGTCATTTTTATGGTATTTCAAGATTTCGATTATCAAAGATCACTCAACTTCGATTAATTGGCCAAGTAGTAATTACTTTTTAAATCGAGCGAATGAAAGAGTATACTTACGTTTTCTTTTTCGTCTGCTATGCCACTTTTCCCATTCGGACTCCATCGTCTCCTTCGACCCGAAACTGAAAGCAATTCGGAGCTGTCCGATCTCTTCAACTGATCCCATCTTCGTCCTACTTTCCTGCCCCATGTCGAAATTACTGTGATGTAAAACAGATTCGATACATTAATTCTCGTTCCACCATCCTTGAACGTTGCATATCATAATTTTACCACGGTGTTAAAAATCGCGAACAGCCGATTGTAAATAACGGCAAATTAATGACAATGTTATAACATAGTGACAAAAATATAAATATTTTACAATTCTAAATATTTCGCAATGTGAAAAATTTAATTTTATAAAATTACCTTTGTATAATTTTGTAATATTTAATCGTACAGAATAATTAATTTAAACTACCTTTTAGAAAAATGGTAAACTTAATCTAATAAAATAATTAATTTAATCGATCTCTTTAGAAGGAGAATAAATTCCATTTCGCAAAATTAAAAGACAAATATCTTAATAACCAATCTCAAAGTAATGTTGTTACGTTTTCGATTGGAAATGCAAGGCTGCGACGATGACGGTTTCAAAAATGTCTCGTTCACGTCCTCTTTTACAGATGTTCGGCCCAATTCATCGTTTTCGTTGGACAACCCTTTGCTACTTCGATCGAGATTTTCCTCTGCCGTTGTAAGATGCACAGTTCCATCCTGAGTCAGGGGAGTAGCCGAAACTAATTGCGGACTGGTATCAGAGAACTGTCGTTTGAACAGTCGCATTGCGATAGCCTGAAAAAAAAAAAAGAGAGAAGAGATTACACCGACGACTGATTACGAATTTCCGCTACGGCGGATTTAAACATTTGAAACGTTTCAAACATTCTAGACAAAATTTTAAGGATTTTAAGACAATCGTAAATTACTGGTTGTAAAACTGGTGGCGAGATGGTTTTATTTCAATTATTCGGAATGTAAAATAATTTAAAGATAATGTGCAAGTTGAAAAGGGACATTATTGTTCCCTGAAGAAACGAGAGAAGACTAATTTTTACGAACGTTGGAATCACGAGAAAACCGATCGGCGAGGGGGGGAGGCATAAAGTTCAGTAAAAGTGCGGATCATCGAGCGATCACTTTCCCAGCATTCCACGGACGTTTAGCAACGTTCCCTGTTGCTATTGGTCTCTTCCACTCACGCCAACCATTATCGCTACCACGCTTACGCCTTTGCAACAGCGATGGAACGTGCGTTTCCCAGCTTCGAGTTACATCCACCTATATCAGGTACTGGTAATCGTCCATACATCACTTCCTTTTTCGCGCTTCCGGCGTCTCTCTTAAGAAACAACGATTAGTAACAACTAGAGATTTCTATTTCACGTATGATCTCGTGATATCAATTCGTGGAATTTTTAGCTACAATATCTGGTAGGTAATTTTTTACCAAAATGAAACTGTTTAGGAGTTCTTCGCCGAAGACGAAAATAAAAGTCGTTCTTCATCGGAAATAAGGCGTTTGCAAAATGAAAATGGTAAAGACGTTTCTATATGCTGGTATATGACAGATCTTCACTATTAAACGCATTATCTAGCAATTAGTAGAACAATATACATATAAAGATGAAGAGTGAATAAAGAAATATCGGAATTATTTTAATGGAAAAATAATGTTTCAATGTTATTTTAGTCTACTAATAGTTAAGCTTAACAGTGATACACAAATTTCAAGATGCATTAGGAAAACTTTATTCTTTATCCTTACCGTTCAAATGTGTATGTATATATTTAAAAAATCTTAAAAAAATTGTACTTTTTAAAAAAAGAGTAGAAATATTGATACCAGTTTTGATATGTATGAAAATCGATACGAAATTATAGCTAATAAGTGAATCCATGTACCGAATTTTGAAAATTCATTTCCATGAAAAATGATTCTCATTTTTATCTTCAAGAGCCTAAAATACCTTCGAAAAAGACGCATTTGGACAAAAAATTTTGCAATACTGATATGCAAACGAAATTATACAATTGTATACTGTATTATACAATATCTCATACAGTGTTCACACAAGAGACAAATGCTGATTTTCAACATTCTTTTGTTCATCATCGTACATTAATAAATATACAATTCTTGCAATTAATCAATCGCTGTCCACTCAAATGCAAATGGACTAAAGAGTATAAAATATGAAATCAAATATATCTGTACCTGAATGCAAATCGGAATGTTCAACGAAATCTCACACAACGTTCGATAGGAATATTCTGTACGCAATTAATCAAGAGCCCACGCTTAAACCGAAGTGAAAGGTCACTATTGAATATTAAGGATATTACCAAACACATTTAAACCACGTACCGCCGTGTCTATCAATCATAACCGCCACGAGAATTAATACGGCCACTAAAAAACCACGACGTTAATGCATATCATTGAGATAAAAGAATAGCTTCTGGTAGGGATATTGAACATGAGATTTCCGTGAATTCGTGAAAATAAAACGAGAGAAATATTATTGTTTATAACATTGAAGGATTTAGGAATTTACTAACTCGTCGAAGCGATGATAATGAGAACTACTCTTGCCCCTTTATTATTATTTAAAAATATCACTCATACTGAATTATGATCACAAGATAAGTATACAACGGTCAATATTACTAATTCGTCATTTTTCATCGAAATTCTGTGCAGGCATATTTTTCAAAACTCGAACGATCTTTTGCAAAATAAAATAAAATAAACTAAACGCTAAGAACTAATTTTCGTTCAATTACTCACTGATTTTTCCCAGAAATTTCCTCGATTTGCAGCGATGCGTTTCAATGGTTCTTCGTCAAATAGCTCGCGTTACCTGTTACGTTACAAACTTCTCCCTGTTCATCGTTGCCCAGTTCTCGTTTCTCCCGCGCCCGAGTTCTATACCGAAAGCTTCCTAATTTCCCGATTTATTCTGGTTTGATAAGTACCACCCGTTATGTAGGCAGCGCCAGTCCCTCGGAGAAGAGAGAACAGGGTGTGGAGACAGGGAAGAAAAAGTGCACGTAGCGTTGCCCACGTGTGTCCCAAGCCAGCCGTATAAGTGCATATCACATACGCCACATGTCGCGGCGAAGTGGCGCGCATTTTTCCTAGACGCAGCCCGCACGAAAATCACCGTATTTACGCCGTTCCCATAAAAGTGAAATTGCATATAACCTACAAAACGCATGCACGCGCGTTAAACACGCATTTCTACCAGCGCAACGAAGAACGATTATTTCTGCCTTCTTCTGTACGCGATTTTCAATTGTTTTCATTCGTCTCGAGCTTCGAAAAATCCATAACGCATACACACACGATACGTGTCGAGACGCGTAGATCTGATCGTGAGAATTTATAACAAATTCCACCTCGACTCGACTACGTGATTATTGGATTGCAGATTGGACTTTTATGCAAATTACGTGCTCTTTCCGACGCAATTACGAGAGAAATTGAATTTAACTGATTTCACTCGACAAATATTACAACAAGTAGCATTGCTTCAAAGCTACTATTTTATAAGTGCAGTGATTATACTAGTACAAACTGCATCAGTCTGAATTAGTATGGTTACATTGACTGCGTCGTATTCTGACAAATAGTTCGCCAATTTATAAAATGAACGTAAAATTGTCTGATCGTTGTGTACGTACTGTTTCTTGAATCTTTCGCTTGATGTGAAGAAAAATATTAATTAGTAATGGATATTAATATTAATTAATAGTAAATATTAATTGATAAGTTAGAAACAGTGTCTGATTTTTTTAACTAGTTTATTAGAATTACCCGAAAATGGAGCCGCCTTTTTATTGCAGCAGCCCTCTCGATTTGCATGAAACATAGCCGAGAGCAACGACTATCGTGTCTCGCGCATGTGATGGAAACATTCTGCTCGTACAATGAGCGTCTTCGACGAAAAAATTTGTTATTTTCGTGTCAAACGCCACGATGTCTCTGGTGAAAACGTAAATAAAATCCTTTCGCGTTATCATTACCGATTCTTTCCTTCAATTTACATCTCGAATGCCAACGCTAGCGATAATTTCAACGACAGTACACTATGTGCTTCTAACTGAACGTTACGCTTACTGCGTCGCTTAATCTAGCGAACTTTTGTTGTAATTTGTGTCTGAATAACTTTCTACATCTATTCGGTGAAACGAAAAATTAACTGGAGCTTTCTCCGGTAGATCGAGCTCGTTTGACGATACCAACGAGATTAACACGGGTTTTTTTTTAATCAAATCGATGGACAATATCGGCGAATATTAATAAAATTTCCCTCGACTTTCACATAAACATATCATTACAATCGAGAGAAAGATGTTTTAAATTGCAAAGATAATTTACCATTTTATGCGCTCAAGTTATAAATCCTCCTCCAAATCAAATTAAGGTGTTTGATACACTTTTTGAGACAAACGTTACTTGCAATGTGAAACATATAGTAACGAAGTTTCTGATTGTGCGTAAATGTGTTTGTCGATCTCGATTTTCACAAAAAATTCGAATAATGATTGTAGTTAACAATGCTTATGCAATACATATAACTATATGATTATATATTTATATGACATATAACTATTTACACCCATTTATCATATGAAAGAATACTTTAAGTAATAGTTGAGCATCATGCTAAGAAAGCCGTGTAGTTTAAACAATTAAATTTTTGTTATTCAAATTTTTTATATTCAGATAATTTAATTTCATTTCATAATTTTATTATATTATTTATCATTATAATTATTTCGTATAACATTATTTTTATTATAGATTTAATATTAAATAAATTTTCAAATTTATCATTATTAAAAAATCATATAATTGAAAATATTTGAACATTAATTCCAATATTTATTTTAATAATAATTTGTTATCCTTCATTAAAAATTTTAATATTTTAATTGAAATATTTAATCCTTATTTTTCAATTAAAGCAATTGGTCATCAATGATATTGATCTTATGAATATCCAGAATTTAATAATTATGAAATTAATTGTTATATAAATAATTATTCAAATATAGATCAATTTCGATTATTAGAAACAGATAATCGATTAATTATTCCATTTCCAAACTTCATTACGATTAATTGTATCTTCAATTGATGTTATTCATTCAACAATTCAATCTTTAGGAATTAAAGTTGATGCTATTCCTGGTCGAATTAATCAATTGAATTTATTTTCAATTCGACCAGGAATATTTTTTGGTTCAATGTTCTGAAATTTGTGGAATTAAACAATGTAACACGCTGAATAATATAAACGTCTGTAGAGGCACGTGAAAATATTCAAGCAGTCATCATGAGAGAATTTCACGTTAATTTCACGTTAATTTCACATTAACATATGTAAATATGTACATGTGTAAATACACGTGTAACCATGGATTTCTGTTTCACGTTCTATTACGCGTGTTCACCGTTCTGCTCACCGTTTTCTGTTACACATGTGTTTAGATACGCGCGTAGCTGTCGAACCGTGAAGTTTCGTGTCTCCTCTTGACATTTGCCAGAGACAAAGGAATCTCGATTTCGGTTAAAATGCCATTTCCTGTCTCAGAGGCAGACCACAGCCATACAATAGACAAGCATGTTACTGTTTTTCCATACGCGAATACAACATTTGAAAATCATGTACGGAAAAATAGGAATATGCTTCGTCCAATTAAAAATCTCTGATACATGGGGGTCGAGTCGATGATGCTTACGAAAAAATTCACACATTTATGTGGAATGCAAAATGACTATATGTACAAGACAGTCGAACTGTGAACACTTCTTTAATTATCTTTAATTCTTTAACACACGTTTCATGTACCATGTATATTTTAGTATAGTATATATATTTTATATATATTTATATAAAATTAAATTTAATATTTTATATATATTTATATAAAATTAAATTTAATACTAATTATATACTATTAAATATTATAGTATATAATAAGTATAAAATATTATAATATTTAATAGTATATAATAAATATAAAATATTATAATATTTAATAGTATATAATAAATATTAAATATTGCAATATTTAATAGTATATAACAAATATTAAATATTATAGTATATTTTAATAGTATATTAAATATTATAGTATGTTTTAATAGTATATTAAATATTATATGTTTTACTATATTAAATATTAAATATTATAGTATGTTTTACTATATTAAATATTATAGTATGCTTTACTATATACCATCATCTAAGAAGATTACTTTAGATTTTTAAACTTCAAACCCTTCCTACGAGTACGTCCCTTCAAAAACCAACCATAGAAACCAAAGAGACACCACACCTTTGTTTTAATCCGTCCCTTCGCCAAAATCTCACGAACGACATCGAAACTGCTTCCATGTCTCTCCACCTGTCTTAACGATCGTTTCTCACGCATCGAGAACCAAAAGCCCGATTCATCCCCCGCGCGAACAACTACCCTCGAGGAATCACACGACGAGCGCAACGCGGTCGTTCCCATGAACCCGACACGATCGTCACGATTCCATGGAAACGCGTAACGCGACTGGTCAGAGCCGCCGATTAAAAACCGCATCGAGTTACAAACGCGGAGGAAAAGCGGGCGCCCACGCGCGCGTCTTCTTTGAGAAAAGTCAGCGAGGCAGAACGAAGCCAGACACGATACGACACGACACGCCAGCTGACTGACTGGCTTCTCTCCCGACGCGACTTTTCATTCATACTGATTCATCGCGCGCGACTCGATCTTTCTATCGCCCTCGTCGACCGGTCCAGCCTCTCCGCTCGTCTCTCCTTCGGAAATAGATTCGTCAGGATGTCGTTCCCGGACACCGGAAACGCTTGCTTCCCGTCGAGTCAACTTCCCGTCGCTCGTTCGTCTCTCCCCCTCCCGCTCTTTTTTCTCTTCCGTGCTCTCGTTTTTTTTTTCTTTCCCGGCTGTTCCTTTTTTTCCCGCTTCCCGTGGAACTTATGTAGTACACAAAAGTGACGGATGGATCGAATCTTCATTACGAAATGGTTCGATGGTTTTCGAGAAGTTGAATCGTAGTTCAAGAAGAAATTCGACACTCGAACGCTGGAACTAGGATAGGATTATAATAAATAAAATTTCCATCAGAGACATCGAAGTCAAAAAGAATAGAGAAACTTTATCACACAATGGACTACACAAGCTTTCATTTGTATATTTTACGAGAAATTATTTAAGCCTTTAAAAACACGTCTATATAAAAGTATCTAATAAAAATTATAAATTGGTTATTTTGACCATTCCGGTTCAGGTATGTATTAAAAATTCTTCTCCAAATGCCCTTGGAACTCTTGAGAATCTTATGTTACTACTTAGGTTAGTTTACGTGGTTGACTGCATAAAATGCTTCGAAAGGTTTCAATGCTTTCAAGATTTATCAAGACTTTAAACACTATCAAGAGTTTCCAACATCTCCAAGGTTTCCAAAGCTTTCAGAGAACAATTTTCAGATATCGAATGCCTCTTGAACTATGACTCGAATTTGCACAATCTAAAAGAGACTTTTATTTTTCAAGATTTTGAGATTTCCGAAACTTTCAAGATGTTTAAGATCTTCAAATCTTTCAAGACTCTCATAGTTTGAGACAAGACAGTAGATCTGAATACGATTGATGCGTTTTTACGTCGGTTACCTACCTACACATTAAGAGCCTTGCCATAGGAACATAGTCATTGTAGGAACCATAAAATATCACTTCAACTCTGAGGACCGACCAATAACACTCGATAGCATTCAATAGCTGCAGCCCCTGCAATTGAGCGCGTAAATCTTTTGTTTGTCTACTGCCTCGCCTCGTTAGACAGACCATTAGACCCAGAACTTTCGAGACTTCTAAAACTTTTCATATGTCCATTCCCGAAACTTTCAAACGCTGCAAAACTATTAATACCTGCAAAATTTCCAAGGCTCTCAAGACTTCAAACTTCAGACTTTGGGCTTTCAAAATTTCTAAGGCTCAAACGCTTCTCGAAATATTAAAACACATTACGTACCGCACTCGGCGACCAACTTGCTCCCAGGGTCTGCAACAGGGAAACTTTGTACAATGCATATGTGCACTTCTTTAATTCATATTGATAAACTATTTTTAAATATTACTACATATTTTTTATAGTAATATTTAAGAATCTATTTATTACGTATATTAGATTTTAGCTATTATTTGTGTTATATTTATATTAACACACTGAGGACGGTATGCTCTGATAAACATACAGCCTGTATTTTCTTGTATTTTTTGAATTATTTAATATACGATTGAAAGGGTTCAAGAGAATGTATAGCATTTGACAAGTGTATTATTTTATTAATAATTAAAATTATTAATTATTTCTCATTTTAGAGGTATTTCATTAAATAAAATGAAAATGCCTCTAACGTTTCTTGATGTGGTATGTTAGGAAACAATTTCCCTACTTCTTGAAAAATTATACAACACTGTAATATATAATTATATATAAATTAATATATAATTATATATAAATTATATATAATTAAATTATTATATATAATTATATATAAATTATATATAATTAAATTATTATATATAAATTATATATAATTATATATAAATTATATATAATTAAATTATTATATATAAATTATATATAATTATATATAAATTATATATAATTAAATTATTATATATAAATTATATATAATTATATATAAATTATATATAATTACATATAAATATAACGTTGCCTGGGTCGTGTCCCCCACAACACAAAAAAGCAACGTTGAAACACGAGAATTCTCGTCTTCCGCAACAGTTGAAAACTGAAAGACGCGTCCACAATGTGTTAAATTCTATTTCGAAGCGATACGGAGGTCTCGATGGGCCATCGTCGTCGATCAGAGCCGCTTCGATCCGTTCTCACAAGGGCGGGTGTATCTGTTCTCAAGATCGGTTGTTTGTCGATCGGTGAATAAAGCTTGCGGTTCGAGTTTGCACAGATCGGGTTCATCGGCTACAAACCGCAGCTGCTAACTAGCCGCTCACCTATTTCAAGGTAACGGTGCGAGATCATAGGTGACGCGAGATGCATTACAGTTACGGCCGGCTGCATGCCGGTCTTTATTTCAGCCGACGTTTCACCAGACGTGCCTTCGACGCAACCGCGTGCGTGCACACACACGCGCGCGCGAAAAACTTCGCTCCGGGTGGAGAACGCAGTGTCTCCCGCGTGTGTTGTAACGCTGTAAAATATGAAATACGACGCGTGGCTCGGCTGCACCGTGGCCGATCCTCCCGTACACGTCTCCGGATAGTTATTAACTGACGAAATGTTCGAGCCGATCTGATGAAATTAATGGTTACCACTTGCTCTTTTCCACCTCGTGGCATGTTACCTCCAACGTCGGTTTTATAATCGAGTTGCGTGTTCGAAAAAAGGAAATGCGTAACAATGTATTATGTCCCTGCTTGGTGTTTCTCTATTATACACGAGGTTTGAAGTTTAAAAATTCATTTGAGAAAACCAATTATTCTCCAGAATACCCATTGTTCGTTTTACTTTTGCAAATTGCTCTTCATTTCCTACTTGTAAGTGCAATTCTTGACTTTCAGTCGAAAATTTTCAATTTTCAAGGAAACGATAAAGTTAAATTCATTAAACTACGGCTTAATCAGCTGAATTGTTCGTTCGATCTGAACACAATTTAAATTACATTGAAAATTAAATTAAATTAAATTAAATTGAAAATTAAAAAAAATTGTACTTCTTAATTAACGTACACGTGTACACACGCGTTGTAAGCGAATCCAGATTTTGATCCGTATAACTTTCAATATATAGGTAAGTAACTTTCTATTTACATATATCTATTAAACCTAGTCAAGCGTGAGGTTTCGTGTCTCGTCTTTTAGCAATTGCCAAGAAGAAAAATCTCGGCCTCGATTAGAACCATCATGTAAAATACCTCGAACAATCTTAATTCCTTAATACACGGTTCACGTAGCATGTGTACATGGATCCTTAATTCCTTAATATACGTTTTACGTGCTATAGTACACGACGAAAATCGCGATCTCCGGTAAGGGAATTTAGATTTCATCTATTGAATGATTTATTAATAATTATCCAACAAAAAGTCTTTCTAATTTGAAGAAATTGGTATAATTATCTTGAAAGTTTAGGAACGTAATCTGCGGATTTTTATGCAAATTGAAATACTTACAAGTAGGAAATATTGTTTCACACACACAAAGTATTGTAAAAATCACTGTATTTTAAATATTCGATATATGTATTTCCAACTCGTGTGTACTCTCTGGAATTTTTCACTTTAAAATTTCTTACAAGTGGATGAAAATCTGCAGTCTAGTTATTAAACAAGAGAGACATATTTGAAATAGTTCCAAAGAAAAGATAAAATTGAAGTTAAACGGCATTTGAATCAAGGATTTCAGAAATGTTTGATTGTCAGGTTGACTGTCACAAGATAAAAGAAATTGAAAGGATTTATGTAAACTATTATAGGGGAAGATAAAAATAGCCCCATCATCTTACTGACTTTCACAGCTTGCAACATGTGAGAATATGAATGATCGCTGCGATTGATGAGCATGCACAATTTGCTTTAAAATAGCTTGTCGTCCTTCGTTAGCGCTCATTGTGCGTTTTGTTTTAAAAAATTAACGCTTGTAACGAGGTTCGATGAAATTGTTCCAAGCTGAAGTATCACCGCCGAGATTTAACGATAGGACTGTCAAAGCGGTGACGAGCGAACAATTTCTGGACTTTTTGGTCGTGGAAATTTTATAAATTATGCAACGCTTCGTTTTTAGAAATTCGAACGACTTTTCGTAAAATAGATAAATAAAAGCTCGCGTTCTTTACTGTATTAGAAACATTCCTCACACTTCAATTTTCCTAACACAAGTTCTACGTTTTGGTCGTTGATAGTTCTATCTAGATTTCTATCAAATAAAAATTATGTTTCTCGTCGTTGAGAGAGCAATGTTTCAACCGATCATCTCCTTTCACTCGATGATATTTTTCTCCTTTTATCACTTTCCTTCTCAACCAGCTCCAACTGGTTAATAACCCTCTCTTCCACTCGCGCGAGTTCATTTTTTTTTTTTTTTTTTAACATGACACGCATTTCACCGTCTCAGCCCGACACATAAACATACGCCAATCGTTTCTTCCATATTTGTCGCAAAGAAGCGCGTCTCTGCGCGGACGATGACGAGTCCAGAAAATGCGCCTTTCCTTTTGCGAATTCGAAGAACCAGTTTCATTTTATTGCTCGATATGCCATCTCGTCTATATGGTTACTACACATCCACTGTATAAACAGATCACGACAGCAACCATGACTCGATGATTTGTTGGGATTCGAGACACTTTCGAGACGTTTGTATATGTGTGCAAAAAAAATTCGAAAAAAGAAATTAAACTCTTACGAAGAAACAGGTAAAACTCTTAAAGTTATCTCGAGAGTTATCTGCGATAGAATTTAATGATTAAACGTGACGAGTATTTCAATGTTTTATAAGCTTTTGGATGATTTTGGTTCAACCAACGCTATTAACGATAAAATATTCAGAAAAATCCAGAAAATTGAAGTCAAATATATAGAACATTTCGGCTGAAGAAAGCCAGACGTCTCTTTCGTTTTTAATGTCATGAGAAATGTTTTCAGCATAATTCAAATGATTTTCAAAAATAAATATCACGGAAGGGAAAACACGCTTTGTTGCTTCATTTATGGGGCCCAGATTCAGTGAACGAGTTGCAATAGGCCAAATTACGGCCCTGTTACATCCAATCCAACGATTTAGAAATTTTCTCTCTTTAATGCTTGGCAAACTATGCACATTGAATCAAACAACCATCGTGCATTCCTAAGTAAATAAAGATCATATTTACAGTAACTTTCCTTCAACGTGTTACGTCAATAATACCAGCTATTCGCGAGACAACCAGTCGAATGAAATCGGTGCCAGAATATTTCGGTCATCGTGTCACCTTCTCCCTTCATTCCTCTTTTAATTTCTTATCTGCTCTCGCTACTTTTTTTTTCTCCCCCCTTTTCACCTCGACCGTAGAAAGT